AAATAATTTTTTAATTATATTATTAAACAGGGCGGGGTGAGAGCGGGTATGGAGACGGGGACGGGGTGGATATTAACATCCCCGTCTCCGCCCCTGCCCCCGATTTTATCAATCGGGGAAAACCCGAACCCGAACCCGAACCCGAACCCGATAAACACGGGTTTTTGTCGTCCAAATCGGGGTGGGTTCGGGCGGGTACCCACGAGAGGGGGTTAGATTGCCATGCCTACTGATATTTGTAGGATCTTATTAACAAGTGGGTAATACATGTAAGTAATAAAACTTGATTATAAAATTATATAATACTAATATTTAATTTATTTTAAATCTGATACATATGATTATTAAAATAATATTGTATAATTTACTAATTAAATTTCATAATTTTATTTTATTTTAAATAATTAATATTTAGGTCTGACTTTTAAAACAAACGTGATAATTAAAGAGGTAAAATATTAGGACAATAAAGAAACAGAGTAGGTATTTTTTGATATTGTATAATTTACTAAATAATATTTTAATTTTATTTTATTAAATAATTAATATATAGGACTAACTGTTAAAATAAACGTGATAATGAAATAGATAAAGTATTAGGACAATAATGACACAGAAGAGGTATTTTTTGACATTGCTTCCTCAGTATGACTAGTCTACTCGTCCCTACTAGAAGAAAAATAAACAGATGAAATGGTTGGTGATTTTTATTTTATTTTGATATGGTAAGACATATTGTTTAAATTTAAATATATCATGTTAAATATATTCACACACAATAAATTATTCCCATTGAATGTTAATGGTATTTTACTATTTTCATAGATATTTTATTTATGGTTTTCATATTTATTACCTTTAACTAAAATATTTAGTAAAAAATATTTTTTAATAATATTTTAATGAAACTAATTAACAAATTAGTAAATAGCTTTTAGAATCTAATAATTATATACCGTGTAAAAAACTTTTTATATTATTTCAAATACTTGTCGTACTTCTCTTCTATTAAAAAGGGTGAAAACTAACTTCAACTGTCTACCTTCATTCACTTTTTCCCAACTTCCCACTTCCATCTTTACTAGTCTACCATATTATCAGCCGTCAGTGAAGAAAAAAGTATTTTTCCTAAATGATATATTTACATTACATCCAATCAATACACAACACCAAAGTTATAAACAAGAGAGTCTGTTGTGACGCAAATCAATTTGTTTGGGATATGTATATCTAACCATATAATTAAATACATAACTCCTATAGTGTAGCCTTTTAGCATAACAACTTTTTACTAATGCATCTTAATAATTTATATATTAACGATAAGTATCTCTATATATTTATTTAAATAAAAAATTAAGATAAGTTATCAATTATTATAAAAATAAAAATAAAAATGATCTAATTAAAATATATATACAAAAGATGAAAATAATCTTTGTTAATAATAGTAGAGAAAAAATCATTTCATGTCTTTGTTAAATAAATAATAACAAAATAAATATAAATGAATGATTATTATTGATTGAGTGGATAATTACTTTTTATATGTCTATTTTGCTTTTAAGAGATAGCTAGTAAGAGAATGTTAAAATATAATATAGAGTTATATACATTTTAACACTATAAGAAATGTTATATGTAATAACATATTAAAAAGTGTAATTACAGGTAATATATATATATTAATGTTTAATAATATAAATTAGTTATTGTAATTTTTAAATTAACTTTCTACTACTACAACTATATATAAAAATTAAGTGCATAAATATTTTTATGTAAGTGATAATATTGAAATTTGGATTTTTATATTAAATTGGTCTTATATATTTTAATGTTATTAAGAGATAGACATAAATTTAATGTGTATATAGATATTTATAAACATGACTTGGTATTTTTAAATAAAAGCATATCATGCAGATATTCAAATGACTTTTTTTTAAAAAGTTACTATAAGTTGAGGGGATTGTTCAGAAAATGAATGTTGTATTTTGAACTCAAAATTAAGTCCAAACTTAATTTATTCTATCGTGATGGATAAAAGATTACCTAGAATAATTGAAAGTTGTACTTAGATCAAGAAAAGACACAAAACATTAGTTTAGTATAAGAGATTTAGATGAAAATGCATATATATATATATATATATATATGAAATTAAAATATAATATAATAGTTGATTATTTAAAGAAAGTGAAAAGTTTACGGTGAGTAGAAAATGAGAAAAAAAAATTAAACAAAAAAGTAATGAAAAAAGTAGTTATAGGAATAAAATAATTAAAAAAATTATGTACATACCTTTATTTTTACTAATGTATAAAGCTCACTCCGTACTTCCATGAATTATTTTTATAAAAATAATAAATAATAAAATTATATAATAATAAGTGGTTATTAAAAATATAAGTGTTTATAAAATAAAATTTTCAAAAAAGAAAAAATTGTAATTTGTAAAAGGATAATTATAAAGATAAAATTGTTTAAAAATATAGATACCAAATTAGACAATTTTCTTTATTAATAATATTAATTAAATAAATAATATATATATATATATATATAATTAGATATAAAGTTAAAAAAAAATTATGATGATGTTATTAATACGAAATATTTTTCAACTTTGTTAGTGAGTAATTTATATTAAGGAACTTGACAGGTTAAGTTTAGTTTCCTCTTCCAACCCAATTTTTCATATACAAGATTTATCAATACCTTGTTTAAGGATTTTTTTGTCTCAAAGGAGGAGAGAGAAAGGAAAGAGAGAGAAGGAGTTAAAAATTTTATTTCATTGAAAAGAGGAAAAGGAAGGTAACACTTTTTTTATTTGGTTCACATAGAGAGGAGAGAGATTTTAAAAACCAATTTATTTGTGTATCTTTATAACTTTAAAAACATATATAAGAATATATTGGATATTGTACTAAATTATTTTTAAAACCTCTCTATTCTCCCGCAAATTCTCCTAATATATGAGGGACTAAAATTAGATGAGTGATTTTGTTCCTTTTATTCCTTTCTCTTTAAAATAAAACTAAACAAAAAATATTTATAAAAACTTTTCTCTTCTATTTCTCTCTAATGGAACACTATATAAAATATATGAATTTTATACGACTCAAATTAATGACTTATTCATAATTAAATTTTTTTATTACAAAATTGATTATCTATCTAATATTTAAAATTGTGTCATAATAATACATTAATCTCTAAAATTAAAAAAATTAAATAAGTTTGATAAAATTTCATAATATCCTATAAGTTTGGTCATTATAATTTTAATAATAGATAATTTTTTTTTATATATTTTATTACCTTTTTTAATTAAAAATTATTCAGTAAAAAGTATTCCTATTAATATTTTTAGAGTACTAGAGTACTCTCTAACATATTAATAAATATTTTTTTTATGTTAATAATTATTTTGTTTTATTTCATGAACTAATCATAAAATTTGATATTATATATATATATATAAATAATAGTTTTTGTTATTTTAATATTTATTTATTTATAGGTTTCTTAACTATTCCCCTGGAAAACCCTGTTTGAACAATAAAACATTGAATAAACCATTCTTAAATTGTTGATAAGCCAAAATGAAAGGTACGACATTAATTGTGTGAGAATGAAATATTGGTTGAACATGTGTATATAACTCCGTCAACAACGGAGACCTCGGGAGTTGCGATGAGGAATGGCAAGACCAAGTAAATAAAGGGAAAAGCGAAGGTGAGATACAGAAACGAAAGCAAAATACGAAATCAGCGTTAGTTGTGAAGCTAACTACGTCTACTCACTCTGCTTTCATAAGTGCTCGCTTCCTCCTTCTATATATATATAAATATTTGCACGTAAGTTTCTTCTCTAAACTCACCCCTCACTTCGAACACTCTCTCTCTCTCTCTCTCGAGCGCCTCTTAGATCTTTCTGACCGCTATCTGATATGGCCATCAATGTGGGGATTCTCGCTATCGACATCTACTTCCCTCCCACCTGTATTCAGCAGGTCACCAATCTCTCTCTCATTCCACTTTCCTTCTTAATTTCTATTTTCTTCTTTGCAAAATCCCATCATCTACACCACACTCGCCACAACTCTGTTTCTTTTTGCTAATTAATGTCGATTCAAGAAATAAAATCAAAAAACGAGAAAACTGACACAGCCGTTGAGTGTTTTCGGTTTTGCACTATGTTGTTGTTTGATTGAAGATCGGGTCAATAACGTTATAAGTGTTTCAACTTGTTTAGTTGCCAAAATTATAAGAGTCGTTTGACAGGTTACAAGGGCTTGAAAAATTTGTGATGCGCTTTTCTGACAAGATTAAATTAAATCACTATTGAAAGCCAGGATTTCCGGTTTTCATATACTGTGTTCTGTGACACGCATAACTACATAACCATGTTTTTCTTTGGGAAAATCATGAGATAGATCCCCCTTAAAATGCATACAAATTATGGCTTGTACGGTTCCTCCATTTACCGATGGGAGAACGGAAGAGAAAGAAAAACACAACTCAGTGTTATGGCTTATGCGATTCGGAGTTATTGTTTTATTATCTTACTCATGTAGGTTGAAGTTAGCTTTTCTCTTTTTTTGCCTTTTAAATTAATTTTTTCATTATCTTCACTTATGCAGGAAGTACTGGAGGCTCATGATGGTGCCAGTAAAGGGAAATATACTATTGGACTTGGTCAGGATTGCATGGCCTTTTGCACAGAATTAGAAGATGTCATCTCGATGAGGTTTATACTTTGGATTTGATAATCTTTATAGTTATATTCAGGCAATACACAATAATAGATATTAGATGATACTGTGTTTGGACTTGCCATCGTAGAGCCAGAAATTTAGTTCGAGGAATACAGAAAAAACATATATAACATTTATCAACAAGTCCCTTTCTTCCCCCCCCCCCCTCTTTTTTTTTTTTTTTTTTTTTGCTGCGAGTAAATGTCATATGATAGTAAAAACTATAACATGTGCATCAAAATTTCCAATAAATCCAAAGGGTTATGTAGAAGTTCAATTCATATTTTCATATTATGGTGGCCATCAACTGAATATATATATATATATATATATATATAGGATTACATAAAAAAATATATATATTCAAAGTTGGGAAGCCATGGCATACTCATGTGAATTAGTGTTCTGGTAAAAACCACCCACGATAAAGGTTCAGCTCCTACCAAATGTTTTCAGGAATGTAACGTCTGAACCCATCTTTATTCCATCATAAACCATTTATAGAAGATGAATCTATTGTATTATACGAAGCAAATATTTCAATGTCATAGTATTATTTTAATCTTATGCAGTCTGATATTCTTGATGTATTTTTTAGGTTACTGCTTGTATAACACTAGACATACCCACCAAAGCCAACTTGATATATTGTTTCTTTTGTGTGAAGTGTTAAACAGGACTTTGATCTTGAGAACTAACCCTAGCATTTTCAGTTTGACAGTAGTTTCTTCCCTTCTTGAGAAGTATGGGATAGATCCTAAACAAATTGGTCGTCTGGAAGTAGGCAGTGAGACTGTGATTGACAAAAGCAAATCCATCAAGACTTTCCTCATGCAGATCTTTGAGGTATCCTTTTAGTGTCAAACTACATGGATAGATGATTCTCTTTTTCGAAGTAAACTGACTTTCTTTGCCTTGTGATGGTAGTTTAAAAACTCAACTGATATAAATATGTACCTATATGTGTAACGATTAAACCATAGATTCAAGTATTTAATGTTGGGCATATCAAATGTTAGGCATATCAAATGGGGAGCACAACTGAGTGGTTGATAACTATCTGGGCTCTTTCCATCTTTGATTCCATACCCAGATCAGATACTAGTCTTCTTCACTAGAATGTCGTTAAGTAATGTTCCACAGTCTGGAATATAATAAGTATTGTTAATAACCAGAATGGTTTGGTTCTGTTAATAACTTTGTTGATCAAATTATATATTTCTGTAGCTTTTGAATACAATATTCATTTCTTGTCTGAAACAAGCAGAAATATGGGAATACTGATATCGAGGGCGTTGATTCAACCAATGCATGCTATGGAGGAACTGCTGCTTTATTCAATTGTGTTAATTGGGTGGAGAGCAACTCATGGGATGGACGCTATGGACTTGTTGTCTGCACTGACAGTGCTGTAAGATCATTTCCATATTTAGTAACAGTGAACATGTTTTGCCTTCCCTTTTTAAATGTGCAATTCTAAGAACAACCACAAGTTACGAACTCGGATAAATATCCTAGATTTTGTTGTACATTGAGGTTAGTCTCAACTCAAGCATGTGTCATTGACGGGTTCCTTACTCAGGTCTATGCTGAAGGACCTGCTCGGCCAACTGGTGGAGCTGCCGCGGTTGCCATGCTAATTGGTCCTAATGCTCCCATTGCTTTTGAAAGCAAATTGAGGGGAAGTCATATGGCTCATGCCTATGATTTTTACAAGCCTAATCTTGCCAGTGAATATCCAGTAAGTTGTTCAGTCCCTTTGCATTTTTGTGTCAGAAGTTTTGACTTTAGGATCTTATGTTTTAAATGCTAACTTCCATTATCCCCGGACCCCCACTAGTATGTAAGCAATCATTGCAATTTTGTTTCCTCACTAATATGTAAGCAATCATTGCAATTTTGTTTCGATTCAAGAAAGGCTGTGAGGAATAGCATGACTGCTTCCATTCCTTACTTTTGAGTTTTGACTTATAATTCGCAAGAGCATATTAATTACAATAAGTTGACTTAATTTATGTTTTATAGGTTGTTGATGGGAAACTTTCTCAAACTTGTTACCTTATGGCCCTTGATTCTTGCTATAATCACTTAAGTCACAAGTAAGCTTGTACTGTTAATATAATTTTTTCTGAAATTTGGTTATAAATTTAAACCAAGCACCTTATCATTTTGCTTTTTTCAGATATGAGAAACTAGAGGGAAAACAATTTTCTATTTCTGATGCTGAATACTTTGTATTTCACTCTCCATATAACAAGGTAATTTATAGTATGTTAGATAGACGATCATATTGCATTGGAAATTTACATTGGCCTTGAAGCTACTATACAATATGTTCCAGAAAACAGGCGATGATGGCTGTCACTTCGCATCCAGACATGCACTCAGGCTTTAAGAATCTCATTTAATATCTTAACCCCCTTCCCCCTTTGACAGTTAAAGAATGCTTTGTATAATATCTTTCATGATTGTATGATTGTATCTACCTTAATTGAAATCTGCATGTGATTTTTTTGTTTGTTTATATATCTCTTTAATACTTCGAGTTATTGCAGCTTGTACAGAAAAGTTTCGCTCGTTTGGTGTTCAATGACTTCATGAAAAATCCGAGGTTCTTTTTATTTTCCGTCATCTGGAAACCTTTTCAATTTTAATTTTTTCATGTATTGGTGTTAAAATGTCGATTATGATTACAGTTCTGTGGATGAGGTTGCCAAAGAAAAGCTGGAACCTTTTGTAACATTATCCGGTGATGAGAGCTATCAAAGTCGGGATCTAGAAAAGGTAAGAGCGCAGAGCTCGTTTAGTTTACAAAGTATAAACAATATTCTTCAGTTTCTTTTAGACACTCATCTGATTTCCATTTTTCCTTCGGGTTTGAGAGCAAAGATGTGATTTCCCATTTATGCAACCAATAAAAAATTTGTCATTTTAAAACTTTTGCTAACAGTATGCCGTATTCTTGATTCACAGGCATCCCAGCAAGTTGCAAAGCCTCAATACGATGCAAAGGTGCAACCAACCACTTTGGTACCAAAACAAGTTGGCAATATGTACACTGCATCTCTTTATGCAGCCTTTATTTCGCTTATTCACAACAAACATAGCACATTGGTGAATGTTCTAAACACTACCTTAGTCAAATATAAGCTTCTTTCTCACAAAGGTTCATGCTTTCTGATATAGATTTACATTTTACAATTTTCAGGATGGTAAGAGGGTAATATTGTTCTCGTATGGAAGTGGCTTAACCTCCACAATGTTCTCTTTGCAATTACGTGAAGGTCAACATCCATTTAGCTTGTCAAACATTGTTGAAGTGATGGATGTTGCTGGAAAATTGAAGTCAAGGCATGAGGTATTTATCTTTAAGAGTCTTTCAAAAATAAGTATTCCACAAGTGCTGTCAGATTTAAGACTTACTTTGAATGTAGCTGCATGCTCCAGCAGTACATTAATGCACCATTTTTTGGCCATAAAGAAAACATGATTTTTTTATTTATAAATATTTGATTGACTAGTTTCTAAGCTGGTAGAGGTACACAATTTTTGGAATTTTTTTTTTTTCCTTCTTCCTTTTAGTTGTGTACCTCAAGAAATTTTAATGACTTGAAATATTTACCACTTTTTTTTACATCAGAAATATTTACCACTTTAAACGCCCTAGATCTTGGCTTGAGGGTTAAAAATTATAAAAATAATTACATGTAAGCAACTGAAGTCGACCGGACTTTCTTTTTGACCATATTGTTTTAATGCTCAACAAAATGCTGAAAACAGAATCCTTTTGTGGGTTATAAAATTTATTTGGCTTTTGATGAATGCAATTTTTTATGCAGTTTCCTCCAGAGAAATTTGTCGAAATCATGAAGCTAATGGAACATAGGTATGGTGGCAAGGAGTTTGTAACAAGCAAGGACACTAGCCTTCTATCTCCAGGCACATTCTATCTCACTGAAGTTGATTCCATGTATAGGAGATTCTATTCAAAGAAAACTAGTGAAAACGGTGTGACTCCTGCAAAAAATGGTTTCACTGCCAATGGTCACTGATGTTTACTTAAAGAATGTGTAGCACCTAGAAGCCAGAAAGTCAACTGTGCTTAGAATTTAGAAGTCTGTTCTTGTTTGCAGTAGTTTCTTCTTAAGGGAAAACAAATGAACAATTATGAATCCTTAGAAGCCAGGGTTGTTCGTTTAGATATTTAACGATGTAGTAACTGTTCAAGTCTCAATGATTCCACCAATTTTATTATTATTTTTTTTCTAGCAACTATGCTTTTGAATGTGTCGCACCGTGGGACTCGAGCAGATGGACCGTGGACATTTTGGCACACAATGCTCACCTCATTCATATCAAGATAAATGAAGGTGATAACCTGTGGTTTTGCACTTTTGTTTATGCAAGCCCACACCCGCAAGGCCGTATTCCACTTTGGCGGGATATATCTCGGCTGGTGAGTCTGGTGGATGGAGCTTGGCTAGTGATGGGTGACTTTAATGCAGTACTACAACCCCATGAAAGAGAGGGAAGTATTAGCCAAACCCTCTTTAGAGGGGACCAAGCTTTTAAATCCTGCATTAATCAAACCAGCCTCATGGATATGGGTTACAACGGAGCCCCTTTCACATGGCGCCGTGGGAACCTATTTGAACGATTGGACAGGGCCTTGGTGTCGTATGATTGGTGTGTAAGGTTCCCGGATGCTTCGCTTTCACATTTAAATCCCCTAAAATCTGACCACACACCAATACTCATTAGATTTTTTGCAAACATGAGCGCCCAGACCTATTGTCGACCCTTTCGCTTTGAAGCTGCATGGATGACCCACAAGGAATTTCCGACCCTTATACGCAACGTGTGGAATGCCAATGAGGGATGGAATCAACGGATAAATCATATGAAACACTCCTTACTTGAATGGAATAAGTCCACATTTGGGAACGTGTTCTTCACAAAACGGAAACTTCTCAGACGTCTGAATGGAATTACTACAAAATTACTTCAAGGCCCTAACCGTTTTCTTGAAAAATTACAAATGGAATTATGGACTGAATTAGACAAAATTCTCAAGACAGAAGAAATTATTTGGTTTCAAAAATCTCGGTGTAAGTGGCTTCGCATGGGAGATAAAAATACTAGGTTTTTCCACGGAACTACCATTGCTCGACGCAGAAGAAATAAGGTGTTTAAGCTGCTGAATGAAAATGGGGACTGGATGGAACAACTAGCCAAATTGGAAAGAATGGTAACTACTTTTTACAGAACGATCTTCACTGATGAAGGGCACATGGAACCTTTCAGCTTGACTAATGTTTTCCCGAGACTTAACGAAGACGAACTCTCCACTCTGGAAACGCCCATCAGCAATGGAGAGATTCATAATGCAGTGAAGAGTATGAGTGGGTTCAAGGCTCCTGGCCCTGATGGACTACAAGCTGTGTTTTTTAAATCCCAATGGGACATTGTGGGTAATGCTGTGTGCAAATTAATCCACGAGATCGAAGCTGTACCTTCTAGAGTTGCCGATATCAATGAGACATTGATTGTTTTAGTCCCGAAAACGGAAAATGTCTCCTCTCTAAAACAGATGTGGCCTATCAGTTTATGCAACGTTTCGTACAAAATTCTAACTAAAGTCTTGGCTAATAGACTTAGACAGGTGATGGAGAAACTAGTCCATCCTAACCAGTGCAGTTTCATTCCAAACAGGCAGAGCAAAGACAACATCATAATTTTTCAGGAAGTAATTCACTCTATGAGATATAAATCAGGAGCAAAGGGATGGATGGCAATCAAAATTGACCTTGAGAAGGCCTATGATAGGTTGAAGTGGGACTTTGTGAAAGATACCCTTCGAGATATTGGACTCCCAGCACAACTTGTGAACATTATTTGGGCGTGTATTTCCTCTCCAAGAATGCGCATGCTTTGGAATGGAGAAACCCTTGATGAATCGCGGTGTTCATCAGGGAGATCCGATCTCTCCATACCTTTTCGTCCTATGTATAGAGAGACTCTTCCAACTTATCACCAAGGAGGTTGAAGCGAAGAGATGGAAACCGATCAGACTGGCAAAAGATGGCCCCCCTCTTTCCCATCTTGCTTTTGTTGATGATCTTATCTTATTTTCCGAAGCTTCTATGAATCAAGTAGAAATAATCTGAGACTGTCTTGATCGTTTTTGTGCCAGCTCTGGTCAGAAGGTTAGTCTAGAGAAGACTAAGATCTTCTTCTCAAAGAACGTGGCACATACAGTGAGAGATGATATCAGCTCAGGCTTAGGTTTCCAACGTACAAATAACCTAGGAAAATACTTGGGTATTCCGGCCCACCACTCCAGAGTCTGTCGGAGAGATTACCAAAATGTGATAAACTGCGTAAATAAGAGACTTAGTGGGTGGAAAGCATCTACCCTCTCCTTCGCGGGCCGACTTACCCTATGCAAATCAGTCATCAAGGCTATACCAAGTTATACCATGCAAACGGTTCACATACCCCGGAGCATCTGCGATGAAGTGGATAAATTGTGTAGGAGCTTCCTCTGGGGTGATAGCCCTACCTCAAGGAAAATTCATGCCATCAGTTGGAAGACTATTTGTATGCCTAAAGATCAAGGTGGGTTAGGTCTTCGGTCAATGAGAACGGTCAATAACTCCTTCATGATGAAGAATGGATGGAGCTTAATTACGGAACCCAACAAGCTCTGGGTGAAAGTTATCCGCTCGAAGTACAAATGTCAAGAGGGTGCAATACCCAGAGTTGAGAAGAAGGCTAATATGTCTAATTTGTGGCAAGGCATCTGCTTGAACTGGATACATGTCACTCCTCACGTTAAGTGGCGAGTAAAGGATGGTCAAGCTGCACGATTTTGGTTCGACTCTTGGATGCCACAACAGGTTCCGCTTATTCACTTTGCAACTACGTTCGTCCCACCTGTTGAATTGTTCCGGAAAGTTAGAGATTACGTGACTGATCAAGGAGCGTGGAAGAGTGATCAGATTCTCAATTGGCTCCCCTGGGAGTCCTTGAACAGTATTGAAGCCCAAACTGCTCCCACGATGAGCGTTGGGGCTGATGAAATTCAGTGGGGACTTACTACTGATGGAATTTTCACCATAAGAACCGCCTATGCAAGCTTGTCCACATTTGACTCAAATCCTTGTGCCCCTATCTTCAAAGTCCTATGGAAATGGCAAGGACCAGAGAGGATCAGGCTTTTTCTCTGGCGCGTGGCCCACGAGAGCCTCATGACGAATGAAGCTTGCTTTGGTAGAGATTTAACGACCAGCCCAATTTGCCCTATCTGCATGCAGGACGTGGAAAATACCATGCATGTTCTAAGAGATTGTATTTTTGCTCGCCAAGTATGGAGTTCGATACCTAGGGGAAATTGCATCAGTCAACCCTCGGGAAGTAACTTTCAAGAGTGGCTAATCTTCCACCTAACCAGGAGTCGTACAGAGCTGATGAACTGGCCCCTCACCTTCGCGATCACAATTGATGCACTATGGAACAGAAGAAACGAAGTTGTGTTTCAGCAGTCGTCCTTATCGGCAAGCCAACTAGTACTCAAGGTAACGAACTGTGCAAAGTCAATAATTAACAGTAGCACTCCATTTGATGCAGGAGCCCAGTCAGATTACACACGTATCACAAGGAACTGGGTTTGCCCTCCTTCGGGGTTTATCAAGTTAAATGGCGATGGGGTTGTGTCATATTCGGGGACAAGCTCATGTGGGGGTTTAATTCGAAACCCAGATGGGAGGTGCATCATGGCATTCTCAAGAAAGCTAGACCGTTGCTCTGTCATTAAAGCTGAGCTGTGGGCCATCACCCAAGGACTTCGACTAATTCACCTTAAAAAATTGGTTACGCACATTTTAATAGAATCTGATTCACTAGAAGCAATCACACTGCTAAGGAATGGCTGCCCCCGTCAGAATGAATGCTTTGACCTAGTTCAAGAGATATCAGAGTTAGCGACTTCTTGTGAGACAGTTTCGTACCTGCATATTGGTAGGGAGGCCAACTTAGTGGCAGATCTCTTAGCTAAACAATGTAATATAGGAGAGGGGAATCTAATTATTTACGATTCGCCTCCTAGTTTCATCTTTCGCGCTTTAGCCGCTGATTTGGCGGGTGTTATCTGAGTTTGTTTTGGGCTCTCAGCCCCTTTCTTCACAAAAAAAAAAAAAAGAAAAATGTGTCGCACCGTGAAAAATTCGAAGTTATAAATTTGAGTAGTCGTTAACGAGGGGTTATGGAGCTTAACATTTTTTCTTAAGAAATAAAATTATAGACTAAAGTTTAACATAGTGTTTGATTGAAAGAGAATGGAAGCAAAATGAGAGATTTAAAAAAACTTCTCTTATTTAATTCAATTTTTAGGATAAGAGAAAAAGGGAAGGGAGACAAAATTCTTGTTAGCTCAATTTTAATTGAAAGATTTTAAAATATTTTTAGTATAATAATTGAGATATCTTTATTTAATTTTAATTTTTTTTTAACCAAACAAGAAAGAGTGAATGCTTTTCTTATTCTCTCTTCTCGATTAAACAAAATTTTTAATTATTTTTCTCCATCCTATTAAAATTTCTCACCTCCAAACTTTGAACCTAATTTTTTTTTAGCACATTCCAACGCTTAAACTACTTATATCCTCACCAAGCATCTTTTTCCTCTCAGATTTCTCATGAGAGATATATTAGAGGTAGTTCAGAAGTTTTCAATTCAGCCACCCTGGATTTGAGGGGAATAGATCATTATTCATGTTATATACGATTGTATTCTAATATAGGTGCTAGAAGTTGGATAGGCCTTTCTCTATTATCTAGTTAGGCTTTGGTTGTGAGTTGTGACAATAGCAAACTATAATGTGGGTCTATAACTGTTGTGTCAGGCACATGCAATTAAATACAAATCCATAAATACTTGTCCAATCCTAATCCAATTTTGATGGAGAAAAACAATTTTGATTACGATCATGTTCAATTTTTTTTTTTCTGATCTGCAGAAGGTCGGGCTCGAGTTCAAGTCCAAATTCTAATATAAAAAATTGTGTATTGAAATTTAGATTTTATTCTTTACATTCATTTTTTACGATTACTAAAAATCTAAATTAATAAATTAATTATATTAACAGTTAAATAGTTTAATAATAAACTTAAAATTACATAATTTACCAAAATTACTATTAAATTCATTTTTCATTTGATATTCTATATAACTATTACAATTACTCTTTATTAAATACCTTTTGTTTACAATATCTAACTAATCAATTTAATTCATTTACTTAATGCAGTTAATTTTATATACAATTATGTCAAATTCTTCATTTACAGTGTCAAATAATTAAAAAATTTAAGTCGTTTTGACTCTTTTATTTAGTTGACTTTAAATAATTTGCATCTTCTCAATTATTCTTTATATATCCCAAGTTTATTGTCTACTATTGTGTGCATTTTCTCATTTCTGATCATTTCATATCTTAATTTTAAAAAAATAGATCACTTGCATTACAGGTATGTGTTGCTGTTGTCTGTCATAAGAGTTATAGGGAAGGTCAGGTTATTTTAGTTCAAAGTTCTTAGTTTGTTTTTACGTTGTAGGGTGTAGTGCACTACTGTACTTCTACATAAATGTAATTGCTTTTAGGCTAATTTATTTTGTTTATTATGTTTCACATCTACTTTGTTAACAGTTTCTTTTTTCAGATGGTACCTTTTAAGAATGGAAGTTTCACTAAATGGTTAAAGTCATTTTGCAAATTTGTGGATGATTTTATTTTCTTTTAGAATTTGTTTTTTTTTTTTTTATCTTACTGATGGTTTTCTATCCGCGATTACCTTTTATTTAGTGATTACTTTTATGATAGATATGGATTAAAATGAGTGATTTTTAAGAGTAAGGACTAAATGGTAAAGTTTGTGCAATTATAAAATTCAAATGAGTCAAATAAATAAATAAAAAATATTAAATAAAAAAATTCTAGTCACACTTTTTCTAATACTCTTTCTCTAATTAGGAGTGGAAATGGACTAATCCACTCAACATCAGTCCATGACCTAGCCTACATCAGACTGGGCTAAATTTCTTTTAGAAAAATAGTTAGCACATAACTTTTAATTTAAATTTATTTAATTAAAAAAGTTAGACTTTAGACTATTTAAAAAACCTATTAGGCCTATTAAACTAACCTATTTAAACAAAAACAAATAAATTATTATTATTATTATATCAAATTTATTATAATATATCAAAATCATACATTTATTTATCTTTTTAAATATAATTAGCATATTGACTTATATAAAAAAAAACCTCATTATAAGTTTATTCAAAGGTAATTTTTTTCATTTAGAGATTTTAATATAAAATATTTTTAAATAAGTTATTATCATGAATTTCATATTAGACTTAAAAAAATTTATACATCAACATCATATAAAAAGTTATATTTGATTTTTATAAAATGTAAATTATATTAGTATTAAATTATTACAAAATAGGCCTTTAAACAAGCTTGTAAAATAAATTAGATTTTTTTATGTAGGTCAGACTATGCTTTAAAAAAAAAAAAAAAAAAAAAAAAAAAGCCTATGACTATGACATGCTAACGGATTAAGCTCAAATCATATATTTTCATTTAAGATGAGGCTCAAGCTTAACTTGACTTAACTTATTTTTACTTCTATTGTTAATATTTTATTTATTATTTCTCGAAATTTGCAAATTTTGGTTAATTATACCATTAAATATTGAGAAACACTCATTGAATAAGATACAAGATCCATAAAATTTGTGACTTCGAATAAAACTTATACAACAATAAAGAGAATATTAAAAAAAAATAGTGTTACATAATGTTGCTAGCAATCCTCTAAAAAATATTATTGATTAAAATATATGTAGAATTTGTTTATTAAGTTAGATATGATACTATTATCCTTGATATAAAAAATAAATTAGTAGAAATTTGATTTAGTATTTTTTACAAAAACAACTTTATAATATTTTTTGTCATTAATTATTTTTTTCACAGAAATGTCCTTAATTATGAGTAATTTTCTCCCTGTTCAATAAATAGTATCTTGGATACATTAATGTTTTGGACTCTTTTAAGAGTCTAATTTTGTTTTATATGAAGAGACTTTTGAAAAATTTATTTTTCTGCTTCACATTTTAAGTTAATAAAAATAAACACTAATAATATATTAATGATGAGAGATACTAAGAGAATTAAATATTTTAAAAAGAATAAAATGTAGCATTAATGTTAAGGTAATTTTAGAAAGAACATATAAATTTAAGATAAATTTAATATTATTAATTAAATTAACTATTTCTTAATCTTGATGAATTGGAGAATTAAATCTTACAAACAAGATTGGAGCAAGGTTGACAATTCTACCAATTTCGTATGGCATCCACAAAAGATCCGCACAATGGGTATGTAAATATTTGTCCAATGTTGGATTTGGGATCAAGTATAGTTCACATATTAAATAAAAATAATAATGGATAAAGTAATATTATGTCTCCTAATAAATTTTCTTAATTCTTTGCGAAAATATTAAAGAAAAATAAGTTTAAGTATGATTTTAATTTTTGTAAACTAAATGATTTTTAATTTTAGTTTGCATAATTTTATTTTTTATTTTCATATTTCTAAAATTTATTTTTATTTTTATTTCTTATAAAATTAAAAAAAAATTGATTTTTGTCATTGTAAAACGTTATTATTAATATTTATTCTTGATATTCATGTTAGGTATAAAAAAAAATTCATTCTAGAGATTTAGATTATTTTTTTAGAAAAATCACATGGACACAAACATCGGTGAGTGCTACATGGGGTACCACTTGACTTTTTGTTAAACACAATTAATCAGTATCAAATAATTTTAGGGGCTAAAAATAATTATCTTAAATTTTTAAGAATGAAAATCAAAGAAATAATTTTATAAAAATTAAAAACAAAAGACTTTAATAATTATATATGATCAATGTAAAAAAATTTACACTCTCAACTAATAAAATATTATCATTGATATGATTCTTAAAATAATTATTATAAAAATTAATAAACTCATCAGACATACTGATTTTATAAAACTGTTATTACATGGTCTTTTTTCCCAAAATAAAAACTCATTCGTTTTATTGATATTTAAAGCATATTTAAGTTTAAAATAAATATTTAATATTTTGAAAACATGAGTAGAACATATATTATATTTTTATATTGAACAAGTAAAATATTATATTAATAATTGAAAATCATTTAATAGAAACAAGCGTTTTAGATTATATTTGTTTTGTGTGTATTTTCTTTTGGAGTGAAAAGATGAAAAATGTGTTGGCAAGGCTCCACTCTTTTACATTAAATTTTCTACTGTTCTGATGGCGTATGAACCACCATAAATTAGTGGTGCCTACCAATGAAAACAATTTATTAAGACAGAAAGCCCAACTTTTCCAGGCCCCCCCTGACATCATCTTCTGCCCTTATTGGCCTAGAGACGAGACCACCCCTCCCCAGTGGTCCACGAATAAGATACAGGACAAATGGTAGACCCCACCAACCAGATCTCACCACGTGGCATCCCATAATTTACCTTGACCCGTTTCATCCAATTACAACCGTTTGATGTTGAGGATAAGTTTCCCACTTGGACTTTATACCTCCTCCCCAGTCCCCACCCCCACCCCTCCTAAATTCTTTGTCATTCGAATAAACAAGTAATTACTGTTTAAAAATTACAGTTAACAAGAACTCCGGATCCACTCACAATATCACCACGTAATTTCTTCATGATATTCTCTTTACATTAATCAACAAACATAAGAATGTGTAAAATAAAACCATGCACAATTATAATTTTAGTTTTTCTCAAATTTTATTTTTATATATTATTTGTGAAATTAATCCATCTATTATTTTAATTGTATAAATTTGATTCATCTGTTAATATAATATTGATTATTCAATAAAAATACTTGCACAAGAGTTTTTTAGAGAAATATCAATATTTTGTTAAGTAACTATAGCATAAAGCAGTAGAGAATGTTTCCTGTGTGAAACAGTGATTAATTGATATGGATGTCCATATTTTTGTTAAATATTAAATTAATAATTAAAAAGAAACAGTGTTAGAGAGAGATGATGAAAAAGGAGTGTTTGAATAAGAAATATGTTAGGTTTTTATGGGTGAATTTAATTAAGCATTATTTATATGAGATTCCGTTGTTGTATTGCAGTAGCACAGCTAAAACATTCCCTGCTCCTGGCTTGGATTTCACTGAAGGCAAACACATTTACTAGGTTATTTGTTCTTTCTCACAAAAAAAAGAAAAAGAAAAAGAAAAAGTTGTTGTAATTGTGTTCCTTTCTGGATCTTCCAATTGAGAAGAATGAGTGAAATGGGTAGGAGTGAGGAGATGGAAGGAGAAGAAAAAGGAGGAAGAAGGGAGCTGAGCAGGAGCGACGGAGAGAAAGAGAAAAACACAACAGGGTTCCAAGTCTTGCCCCCCAAGGAGGAGCCAACAGATTCCGACCCCAACCCGGGGGTTCTTCCGCTGCCGCTCAAACCAACCAGGCGCGCCTCCACCAAGGACCGCCACACCAAAGTGGAGGGCCGCGGCCGCAGGATCCGAATACCCGCCACCTGCGCCGCCCGGATCTTCCAGCTCACGCGCGAGCTCGGCCACAAGTCCGACGGCGAAACCGTCCGCTGGCTCCTCGAGCACGCCGAGCACGCCATCATCGAGGCCACCGGCACCGGCACCGTTCCGGCCATCGCGGTCTCCGTGGGAGGCACTCTTAAAATCCCCACTACCTCCTCCTCCGCCGCCGAGGAGAAGAAGCGGAAACGGCCCTCCAGCAGCGAGTTCGTGGACGTGAACGTGAAGGAGGGCGTTTCGCAGTCGTCCGGTCTGGCCCCGGTTCAAGGTGTGGTCTCGGTCTGGGCCGTGGGTAACCCGAGCATGGTGGTCCCCGCGAACACCTTGTGGATGATCCCCCAGGCCGCCACCACAACTAACCCGTTGGGCCCCGCCAGCCACCAACCCCAGATATGGGCCTTATCCCCTTCCGTGTTCAACGTGGCGCCCAGGCCCATATCCACGAATATTCCAGAAGGTTGGCCCGTTGTGGCGCCTTCCAGTAACGGTTCTAACTCCGCCGTGGTGGGAGCTAAGGTGGCAGCCAAATCCAGCATGGCACCTTCCAGCGCTAGTGCTAGTGGCAAGGCTCAGATGTTAAGGGATTTTTCCCTCCAAATTTACGATAAGCAAGAGTTGCAGTTCATGGACCGTTCCAATCGATAAATCCACCACTACCCACTTTTCATTGTGACAATTTCTCTTGAGTTTAATAAAACAAACGTCAGCCTGTGCAAATAAACGAGAAAGTCACAGTTGTTTTGTTTGCTGTTTTCGCAGTCACAGTTTAGTTGATGTTCTATTTTAGTTTAGATTATTATTAAGATGGCGTGCTGTATTTGATTGCGTTTTGTTTGAGAGAGGTTGCCAACAGGTGTGCCTCAAGTTTACTTATTTATTTATTATTAACGTAAGTTACGGAACGGAATGAAAGAGAATGGGTCCGTTCTGTTACTGATTGACGATTGTGTACGCGAGTGGCAGTGGCAGCAACAAAAAGAAAGAAGGGAGGTTGCGTGCGTGCGTGCGTGCGTGAGGAGGAGTACGGACTACGGAGTAGGGAGTTTGACCTTTGCGACACGTGTGGGGAGGGGGGGCTGGGAGAGTGGGGAGGGGGGCCCATGCCCGGATGCCTCTTTAGCTGTTCACATTTCACTCTTAAATAAATTCAACTTATTTACATTTTTAAATACTTTCGGATCTCCAATTATAATTTTAATTTTAATAATTTTATTTATCCATATATTTTATTAAATACTTTAGTTTTTTATAAGAATAAATACTGTATCCACATATATTCATCTAATTATAAGCAATTATTACGCATAATAAACATTGATTTAATAATTTTTTTAAATATGGTTTTTAAATTTTTGACAATGAAAATGTTTTATAATAAAATTTCACAGAAGTTAATTTTTTCCATTGCGTATGTTTAACAATAAAATTTAAAAGAGAAAATTTATAAAATAATTTTTAAAAAAGTAAATAAAGCCATTTCTAATATATTTATAATTGAATTTTGGGAGTAAAAAACGTTGGGTAATAGTTAGTGGGTGGGGCCTGTGGGAGCCCTAATTCCCATTGAATCGACGCGGTTTTATATGCGTGTGCGCAAACGCAGTATGCGTGGGATGGATCATGGATGGTGGGGTAGCCATCACATTCAGAACCCGCGCCTCTTTTTCTGGGGTGGGCTCCATTCACCCCTTGCTGCCACCTCTCACCTCTTGCTTTTCTTCCATCATCATCTACACCCCCCAAAGCCCCAAACACTATCAAATTAGCCTGCAAATTCAAATACATCACATGGATGCACAAATATTCCTAATCACAAACAGCCCAGGAGATTCTTTTATGTAAAACTTATTCTTAAGCATCTTGTGTTCTCCAATTTATTTTCTCTAAACTGGGTAAATAACTAAGAGTGTATTTGTGGTTGATTCTAATTAAACTTATCTCATGATTTTAGTATTATGTATTGTTCCGGCCAAGAGACGCCCTAGGGTTTTTTCCTAGGTCAAGCCTCAAAGCCAGAGCATTCAAGAGTGTAATCTGTCTACTCAACTTTAGGGTTTTGGGTTTTATGGTACGTCGTTCATGGGCTTCTTGGGCCCCGAGAATCAAGGGATTTCTCTAACCGTTCTTATCATGATGGTGCGGGTTAATGGGAACGAGCTTGGTCGGATTCCGACCGACTGGACCCGTACCGAGGGTCCAGTAAGGTAATCGTCGAGTGGTTCCCTTGTAGGCGAGAGGAATCGAGCTTAGCAGGTCGAGTCGGGCTATGACCGATTAGGTCTGTACTGAAACTTAGACGAGAGGTAACTTAGTCGGATTTTTACCTAGACAGTACACTAGTCGGATTTTTACCTAGACAGTACACTAGTTGGATTTTTACCTAGACGGTACACTAGTCGGGTTTTTACCTAGACGGTACACTTGTCGGGTTTTTACCTAGACGGTACACTAGCCCTCCAACCTTGAGCGTGTAGGGCGAGAAGGCTTTGCTAGATAGAGGGTCGGCTTAGCCATTGCCGACCTGTCCCTTGTTAACCCCATGGTTAGAATCCGGCCTAGACCGTACACTAGCCCTCCAGCCTTGAGCGTGTAAGGCGAGAATGCTTTGATAGATAGAGGGTCGACTTAGCCATTGCCGACCTGTCCCTTGTTAACCCCATGGTCGGAATCCGGCCTAGACCGTACATGTATTTAAATTAATGATAGATAAAATTTTATCATTGCTTTGTTACGCTAATTAAATCATGACCAAAACGGACATGATATTCAGATCTCCGTATTTGAGTCGTGGTATACATTATAGTAATGTACGTCATATTTTGAGATACATGATAGAAAATAATGGGACCTACCTACTATGTATATTTTGATTTCAAAAACTGATTCAAAGATCTTAAATCATAAGTTACAATTTTTTTTTTCTATTAACATGCTCAATACGTGTCTCAAATTTGATAATAAAAGATAAATTTACGTTTGCATAATCTGATTTTTATTGGTTAAATATTATTTTAATATAAACAAAAAATAAATTTAAAAACACTAATTAATTGGATTAACGTAATAATTATTCTTTTAAAACAAATTGAATTAAAATAAATACTATGTCATGAAAATATTTCAAAACAAAAAACGTACCAATTAAAAATATTTCGAGAGGTTCCAACTAGTCCATGTACTTCAATATCTCCCTATACTTCTTTTACATACCCATTGTAATTAATGTTGAAGTTAAACATTTAAATTTAGAATTGTCAAATTGTACTCTGACATCTCCCTATACTTCTTTTACATACTCATTGTATAATTAATACTTAAGTTAATACTCTAAATTTAGGATTGTCCTATATCTATTAAGTTAAAAGATTTAATGCGAGGATCAATATCATTAATATATGAATTGAATGTCATAACATAATAACAATCATTATGAGATTTTAATGTGAAAGCCACAAAAATCGTGAGATTCATAAATGTAGGATAAATATGTATAAGACTCTAATTAGGGATTAAAACAAAAACAAATTACATTCTTTGAATGTTTTAGGTTTTGGATTGCAATCAGGAGTTTTCAAAAATAGTCATTTATACTTAAATATTTTGGCACCTACTGTGAGACTCAATAAATTTTTCTTTAACTACATGACTCAAGAACCTTCATCCTTTCTTTGAGCTTTCAACTTAGCAATTCACCCTTATTTAATGAAATGTTATGGGACCCATTAATTATTTTAAGTTGAGTTCACAAGCTAAAACACTTAAAAGAATAATAAAAAATATAAGATAAAAAGAGAAAATAATTTAAGAATTGTTTATTAACAATAATAATCATGAGATAGTAATATCTTATTAATTTTAAATCTTTAAATTTATTTAAGATTTAAAATAATCTCTAAAATTAACATTTATTAGTAAAACTTGTCCATTTGTAACCTCTAATTAACTAATAATGGTAACCATATTGATGTAAGATATCAACTGTCCTATATATTACTGTTTACATTAGTCAAAATATGACAATAAAATAGTCTTCAAGATAGTTGGACATTACCAACTAAATCACTAAAATTATTAAAATTTTGAAATATATAGTACCTGAAACCGAATATTGTTAATAAAGTTAGTCTAAAAATAATCCTTCGTCAATTAACAACATTAAATACATTAAATTTAAATACAAAGTGTCTTACTATCAACCAACTTCACATTAACCTACACATAAGAAATTAGTTAGAGAAACTATTTTGATATATATGTTGCGGGTTGCATCAATTGTCCCGTGGCGGAGGCTAGGTGAGCCAAGTCACTGTTGAATCATGGCGCTTGGGCTGCTGCGCTCTTAAGTAAAAAGAGTTGTGCCCTGACTATCAGCTATAACTTTTGGCCTAGTGGTAAGCGCTCGATCCAACAATTAGTATCAGAGCCAAGGTCATGAGTTCGATACCCAGCGGGGCAATTGTCGAGGGGAAGATTGTTGCGGGTTGCATCAATTGTCCCAAGTCACTCTTGAATCATGGCGCTTGGGCCTATAGCTTTTAGCCTAGTGATAAGCGCTCAATCCAACAATATATATATTATTCCTTCTTTCATTTTCCTTCTCTTGTTGAAAAACACATAATAAAATCCTAGAATTTGTAAAATTAGAGTTCCAAGAGGAACAACACAAAGGCAATGATGACGATTGATGAGAGGTGTAGAACCGTATGTACAATTAACTGAATTAAGATCGAACAAAAAAGACATTACTGAGATATATGCATATGCAAACGCAAGGGTTAATGATCGAGAAAACATAGCATCAATTTGCGATTTTTCTATTGTAATTTAAGAGTAATATTAAGCAAATGTTTCCAAAATTACGTGTAAAAAACATTTCTTAGATTCCTCTGAATTTATGAATTTTGCATAATTACTCTTAAACTACAATGACAATTACAAATTACAATTCTTGATTGCATAAATAGTATCACATTACTTACTGTAACTAATAGGTCTTAGACTTGAAATATTGTGAATTCCCGGATTCAAGAACATTTCATGCCAAGCCATCTCTGTCAAATAATATTCGACCAAGTCGAGGAGTATTTGGCCAACCTGATATCCTTCAAGAAACATGATGGAGTAACGAATGATCATTATGCAATAATAATTTTTTTTGAATGTATTTAAATGACCAAATCACTTGATATACAACATAAAAACAATATGAGTACTTGTTGGCTTTGGCATCATAATCTTTTTTGTATGTTCAACAACCATTTGCAACCCCGAAGACCGAGGATTGAGGGCCAAGAACTTTCACTTGAAAATTCTTTATCAATATTTCTCTACAAGTACACTTACCATCGTTGCTTTTTGTTATTTCTCACAGTTCTTGAATTACGCATGTTCAAAGGTTTCATAAACATTCTTTAATAGAAATAGCAAACAAGGGGAAGGGGGAGGTGAATATTACAAAAAAAAAATCATCAAAATAATCATTTTTATATTGATCTACAAAATCTATATCAATATATAAAGGTGCTATCCCTTTTTTATAACTGATTTGTTATATTCTTTAATTGTGTTTTATGGTGGAATTTGTTTTATGGATTCTTTTTACTTGGACTAGCACGAAAAATGTTTCAATTTAGATATGTGATGTTTCTGAGTTTTATAGTCTTATAAAACGAGAAGAGGAGTAATAGGAAGATTTAGTAATTACTTGTTTCTAAAGATTCTTCAATAATTAACAAGCAATAATTCTCATACGCATAAATGCTAAGATGAACAGAATGAATAATTGAGATACTTGCAATACAAATCATGGTTCAACTTGCATAATGTTCCAGAGTTACAATATCAAAATGATATAACTACGTGATTAACAGGAATAACTAAGAGAACTATGCTAAAACTACTCCTAAAAAGAGAAAAGAAATGTGGCCGAGAAG